CCCCCACACACACACACAATTTCTCTATGGATTTAGCCTTTTTTAGAGAATGGTTTTTGTGGCGATTGGGGGGGGGGGCGGTCGCCCCTTAGCCCCCCCTCCCCTTGGTTACGCCACTGTTTCCGTTTCTAATAATAAGTTTTAAATATTAATCAGTTACATTCAAATATTAATCAGTTACATAGAAATACAAACTGTAAACGTTGCCTTTGAACAAAAATACAGGTCCTGATTTAATAATTGAGGACAGGTCATAGGCGTGTACTTATCCACATTCATCTACAACATCTTTGACATGAGGTACAGGTAGCTGGAGAGATGGTAGCCCGAAGTTAGGCGGCAAGCTGGTCGGCAATCTGAAGGCCTGTTCCGGGGTTCTGTATTACCACAGAATAAACAAATCTGTTTACTCTGTGGTATTAATTATTAATATGCATTAAATCAAGGCAGATTATCCGTGCTCTCAGACTCAGTAGTTGTCGCACAACCTCTGGTATGTACTTCCTGTCTTGCAGCTATAATGAATCTATGTGTGGGGTTGGGCATAGCCCTAGGACCCCTAGGACATGAAGTATATACCCTACCTCGTCTGCAGGCCATACAGCCCGTATGTCCGTTCGCAGGTTTCGTTGCCTTAATATTTTTAAAACTCCTGTGCCTTCACAAATTTGGAAGCTTCGCGTAATGCAATTTTGGGTGATCATCAGGATTGTCACGGCATTCTATGTATTCTTCATATTTTATGTCCAGAAGTTCCACTGAATAGGGGTCCAGGAATTTGGAGTTTACTCTCATAGGATGATCATGCTTGCAGGAATTTTTTTTTTCAAGTTTTCTTCTCGCACGTTTTTTTTTTTAAGGATAAAGGCTTGCTCGAATTTTTTGGGGGGATTTCTGCAACCACCCCCTCAAATATCTAATGGTCCGTCCCTTACTAGACTCTTTTGTCTGGAACATGAGTGCAAACGCTCTCTACAGGGTGAGTAAAAAAAAACTGACACCTTTGTTATTCAAATTAGCAGCGAAGGTATCAGTTTTTTTTTATTCACCCTGTATACAGGGTGTATAAAAAAAACCTGAACCCTTTCAAATTAGCTATAACGTATTGTAGTAATTTGACAGCTCTAATTGCTTTGAATTAATGGTTGGGTAAGAACACAAGGTTTTGTACTCATGGGACAAAAAACTCTTAAATTTTCTAATTTTTATTTCTTTGAGTTTCGTCCCATGAGTACAAGACCTTGTGTTCTTACCCAATCATTAATTCAAAGCAATTAGAGCTGTCAAATTACTACAATACGTTATAGCTAATTTGAATTTGAAAGGGTTCAGTTTTTTTATACACACTGTAGATGGCACTTTTTGCTACAATGTCCAGTGGGATTTCTCCTTCTGATGCATGTGAATTAGAGGCTGTTTATATGTTTATATCCCATTTTTAACGAGCTTGAGATTCTTCCATTTAACAACATTTATTTGTTTCATTTAGGCTTGTTTATGTATCAGTTCCATAATTGTATGTTACCGTCTAATTTTGATGAGTATTTCACATGTGTTAACCAAGTTCACAATTATAATACGCGACAATCGAATTTGTATTTCCTCCCATTTTGTAGAACTAACCTGAGAAAATTTGCTATTATTTACCAAGGTCCTAAATTTTTTAACTCCTTCCCCAAAATATATATATGATGCTTCATCCGTCTCCGGTTTTCGGAAAAAACTTAAAGAATATTTATTTAGACTTTAATTTTGTATTATTTAAACACACAATCAATGTAACATAGTTTCTATCTATGCTTTGTCAAAAACCTGATCCCAATTTTTTGGTCTATTTTTCCTTTTCATCCAAATTTTGTTTGTTCGTTTGTTTGTTTGATTTACACATTGTATCTTGCTCGATATGTTTTTACAGCTAACACTAAAATTTTGCTATATATGTATTACTGTAGTTTGATCTAGGTGGCCCAAATTACATAAGCCCTTATGGTTTCTTTTGGGTTTCCTTGCCTTACAAATGTAATTTTTTTTTATTTATTTTGTTTTTCTCTTTGATATTGTAAACATTTTTTTTTATTGGCTAAAATAAATTGACTTGACTTGAATGTCACCATGGCACTGTGTCCACGACCAATTTCCCTGAATGCCAAGACTGTCTTGTGTTTACATTGTATGAGGGCCCTTACTTTTGAGATATGTGAAAGCAATGCTTCCAGTCACATTCAAGATTGTTGCATTGTAAGATAATATAATGCGAAAACCCTTTCTTTTTCTTCATGTCAACGTGAGATGTTATATGGTTACCACAGTCAGGGCATCTCAGTACTTCATCAAATACACCAAAAAGTACCTGTACATCCATGAATATGGTGCCTTCTTTAACGGAGTCACTATCACCAGAATTCTCACCAAATTTGCCATGTGAATCAGCATGTTTTGTCTGGGAAGCCCCCATGTTTTGAGAAGATGGTTGGCCGTCATCTTTGAATTTCTTGCTTCCCTTTGATGGTGGAATTCTGTTCTTTTTTCTCTTTCTATTTTGCGGATTTCCCATTATTATGTCAAAAATTATTTAAAAAAGATGACAAAGTAAAAGAAATTTAAAAAAAACGGCAGTAAGTCCTCAATAAATACGAAGAAATCGCGGAGTAATGGCTAGCAAATTCGCCCGGTCGATAAGTGTAGCACGCTATGAAGTACTATGTGCTCGAAAAATGGACCAATCAAATTGCAGCTTTCGAAATGACTTTTAAATCACATACATCAAAAGTAGAAACTTCAAAAAACTTTATTTATTCATTTGTTTTTGTTTTTCGTGCGTTTTTATGGGCCAAAACGCGTTGCTAAGGCGTTGCTAAGGGGAAGATATTTCACTATGACCATTTTAAAAGCATTTTTCGCTTTCAAAACCAAACAAATCAACTAAAATTATAGCAGATTCTGAAAGTTCAATACTTGAAATATCTAAAACACTAAAACCCAAAATTTTGAAGAAATCATATTGAAAAGGGGATATAACCGCTCGCAGACGGCCTTCAGACATAAATTCGCACAAAAAGGCAAGACTCTTGATCTTGAAATCGATGTTTATCGTGCTAATACTGTATAACTTTTAAGCTGAATATTCAAATCGCTTCGAGCGTTTCGCACCGCCGGCCCACACGCACACCACAAAACATACGTTAAACGTTGCACAGTATTCGCCAAACTCGACTTCAGCTAGCCACACTTGAATGTCTTTCACTAGTAATGATGTCAGCATTTCAATTCAACTTCGCGAATAAAAGATTGCTCTACAAGCTTTGCCTGATGTAAACGAGATCACTTGACCGCTTTTCAAAGCAAACGGCACAACAGAGATAAAATTTGACTAAGTGCGTCATATTTGAATACGACCGCGTGGATTTCGCAGTGCATGATTGGTTGATGTAAGGTGCGACAGGATGTTATCGTTCATAATTGATTTCACATATAAAAATTCTGAAAATAGCTTACATAAAATATTTTTACCAAAACCTTGGTGAAGTACCTAGGGGTATCTGCATGGCTGGGGGGGGGGGGATTTGTTGCATTTGCAAACGAGTGTGAAAATACTGCATAGCTTCTCTATGATAATTTGAAAACAAAATATTAAAATAGGTCTGCCAGTCTGGAGACTACAGTTACTCGTGTAACAATTAATCGGTGTAATGTTACACTATTTTGGTGTCGGTACAACTCTGCGAGATTTACAATGCAACAAACCACATCGAGATTTACAATGCAACAAACCACATTACTGGCAATTCAAAAATAAAAGAGACACATTCTAATACAAACTTATAGTTCGGTTCATGTATTGAATTTCACGACTGCCTTTTTGCTCAGGCGCCTGTTTTTTAACGTAGTACCGTTGTCTGAATACAATTTTTGAAGTGGATTAAATGCAATTTTTAATGTCTGTTGATGGTCATCAAAAACCTATTTTCACAAGCCAGATAGCTTGTATTGTACAGTAAGTTCCGACAACTGATACAAAGTGTTTTATACAAAAACATGGAGTGTATTAATTAATCATTGATAATGTGAAACGTAGTTGCAAGCAACTGAAGAGTAGATAACGAAATTCATTCTTCACTGTTGCAAAGAGTGATTGAAGCAGTTCAATATGCAATTACTGAGGGACTAAATGTACTAACATTAAATGTGCTAACATTGTATCTCCTTCCTTAATCCTATATTTTAAAATATCAGATTGTTTGATTATTTGGGCCACGGGGCCCAAACAGGTTCTGTGATTGATTTCATTATAACAAATGAAATTAATTTTCTAAGAAACCAGTTGCAAACACTGAACAATTTCGGTAACAGAATCCAATAACAAAACATGTTCATTTTAGCGTCGTATTTACTGCATTATTTTGACATAAATAGAAGCAATTTCCACGTTACTGTTACTCGTCAATACCATCATTTCGTGTGACTATGCGCGCATTTATACCTATATATAGTAACTATAAGGGTAAGAACTAATTTGTCGAAGTCTGCTAACTAAGTGTTCTATATGTACCATATTTGCTGGCGAAACGTTATCCATCAAATACTGCTTGCAAAAGAGATACACCACTCAGAAGACAGCCATGGGTTTACTAGTTTGAAGGTGGTAAGAAACAAGCAGAAAACAGTGCGTACTCATAACTGGACAGCTCCAAGAGATTTTTCTTCGAGGCAAATTATAATGGTTCAATACACAAAACCAGCAAACGAGAATGGCAGATGATGAATTTCCATTGACTATTAACAATGCGGCTGGATAGTATGGAGCTATATTATATTATGGAATTATACTTTAGGGGTGGGGTATTAATTGGG